GTGCTACGCGGTGCTGGAGAGTCACCAGTGGGCACACCGCGCCTTTGCTCCTTTGCGCCTGCTGCACGCGCTGGGGGCGCTGCTTCCCGGAGGGGCGGTCCAGCCGACGGGCATGCACTGGTACTCCAGGTTCCTCTACTGGTTGGCGGAGGAGCTGCTGGGCTGAGCGTTCTGGACTTAGTAACCTCGAGGCACCCGCCGGAACCAGGGCCTGGGGGCTGAGATCTAGGGATGTGGGCAGCGAATGATGTTGATTGGGCGGGAGGGAGGGAGGAAAAGGGAGAAAAATGGAGGCGATTCGGGACTGCCTAGTTTAGGGGCAACCTCCTAGGGAAGAGGTGCTCCCAGGTCCTAGGTAGGTGGGATTGAAAGTGGGTACTCCTTGACCAAGTCTATTTCGCCTCTTCTTCCCCAGTGCCCCAGTCCCACCCGATAATTTTATTTTCTATTTATAAATCATAATATAATGATCTGCTTGCCCAGCCTGGCAAGGTGAGGGGCTGGGGCACAGGCACGGCGTTAACACTGTCTTACACAGCCAGTCAATCTGTCGTCTGACATTTTCCTACAGGCGGGCTAATAAAGGGAAAGTTTCCGGGAGATTATTGGAAAATATCTCTACTTCGAGGGTGATTCACCTCCAGAGGGGGGAGAAGGAGGAGACATCCAGATTCAATACCTTTCATCCAACTCCTTCCTCCTTCCCCAGTAGGTCTTCCAGTCCTGCTTCCTTCTGGGGGGTGGGGGTGGGGTCTCCTCATCGATTATCAAGAGACCAAAAAAGTCCTGCCCTTTTCTAGGCTGCTTGTTCCTTCTCCCACCCAGAGAGGACAGCATTCTGTCGGTATGGTGCCTACCGGCTGTTGCAGCGGCCAGAATTGTCCAAAGAGTGAGAAGGCCTCAGCAAGTTCTTTCTCTGTTTATAGGGGCTCTGGTGGGGATGAGGCCATTGTGGGTACTGATACTCAAAGAATTCTGCTCCCCTATTGTTAACCTCTAGTCCTGGTCCCTCTCTCAAGGCCATGCCTCAGCCTAGCCATCTCCTACCCGGGTATGGGGTCTGGATGGAACCTAAGTTTTTTTTTTTTAAATATATTTTATTGATTTTTTACAGAGAGGAAGGGAGAGAGATAGAGAGTCAGAAACATTGATGATGAGAGAAACATCGATCAGCTGCCTCCTGCACACCTCCCACTGGGGATGCGCCCACAACCCAGGCACATGCCCTTGACCGGAATTGAACCTGGGACCCTTCAGTCTGCAGGCCGATGCTCTATCCACTGAGCCAAACCGGTTTTGGCAAGAACCTAAGTTTTTTTTCTGAGATGTCATTAGACCAACTGGTGACCCGTGGGAATTCCTAGCTAAGTCATAACTGATAGTCCCCCCCGCCCCCCAACACACACACTTAGTCAAGACAAGCATCCAGACAGAAGGCTGGAACCTATTCCTTCAGAAGGGCTGCGAGGATGAAGGCGGAGACCCACTTCAGCCCTGACGTATGGGGGGAAATCGGCGCTCCACACAAGGACATATGGGTATTACAACCCAAGCGCCCTTCCTGCTCTCCTGTCCTGGTTGTTTCTACTGGTTCCCGCCGCTGTTTCTCTCTCTCTCCCCTCCCATTATTGCTGGCTCTGTTTCCTTGGCCTGAGTGTTTCTGGAACCTATAGCTTCCAACACAGCAGACACCTAGAATTCATGCAGGCAGGTGCCCCTAAGTTAGCAACTGAAGCTCCGAGGGAGTTGGACTGCACTGGAAGGGGAGTGTCTAAGGCCTTGGGGATGGTAAGGGGTGGGTGGTATCTCCGGAAGCCCGCCCTTCCCTGTAGCAGCGGTGTCCTCCCAGAAGCCAGGTCCCTGCTATACACCGCCCTCTGGTGGTCTTCAGAATCAGTTCCCTTCTAGACTAAAGGAAAGAACTAAACCGGTATACAGTTCACCCTTGAACCAACGCCAGCGTTAAGAGAGCTGAACTCCCGCGTAGTCGGAAATTACCACGGTCCCAAGGGAATGGGTGGATTGGACCTGTGCAAAGGAGCCTTTTTGCAGGAGGTGAGAAATGATATGTGAGGCCTGGGGCTTTGTTAAGCTGCTGGGGCTGAGCCACGGTGTTAGGGGCTAGCGAGGAGCCTGCCTGCCTGTCTTTGAGAATGCCCTTCCAAACTGGCGTTAATGCACCTCTCCTGCCTGATTTAGCTCTGGGTCCTGGAAGCTGGAGGCATAGTTTAGTCTGTAGTAGTCCAGATGTCCATGCTTATCCAAGTTGCCCCTTCATCTCCTTCACCCTTGTGACCCTTGAGTCAATGTCTAGAGGTGAAAGCACACTTAGGTTTGCAGGTGATCCTGGACAAAGGCAACATTTGGGAGCAGCTGTGAATCTTTTTTTAATTAAATATATTTTTATTGATTTCAGAGAGGAAGGGAGAGATAGAAACATCAATGATGAGAGGGAATCATTGATTGGCTGCCTCCTGCACGCCCCCTACTGGGGATCGAGCCTGCAACCTGGGCATATGTCCTTGACCGGAACCGAACCCTGGGACCCTTGAGTCCACAGACCGACGCTCCATCCACTGAGCCAAACCAGCTAGGGTGCAGCTGTGAATCTTTAGTGCCCTTCGACCCACCTTCCCTCAATCTACACCAGGTGCCTAGTGCCACCTCAGAAATGCACTTCAAGCTTTCCTACTTTGTTTTCAAACCTGCCCTTGTTGCCCTCTATCAGATCCTGATGCCCTCCAGTCACGTCACTTCAGGTAGTGACTAATGTGATACACTGAGTAGTCTTTCAATGATGGGCCCCTTGTAACAAGCTCGTAAGCCATGAAACCATAATGGTGCTGATTCCTAGCACCTGAAGAAGTTGGGCAGGAGGCTATCCCAGGACAAGGTTTCCCTTAAACTACATCCTGTCAGCCCAGGCCTGAGGCTCCTCTCTCTCTCTCTCTCTCTCTCTCCTCTTTCTTCTTTCTATCCTCTTTCCTTTCTTTAAGTTTTTTTTACACACACACACACACACACACACACACACACCTTCCATTCCTATTTATCCCTGTCCTCTGGAGCTTCCAGGAAAAAAAAAATCCATCATCTACCTGGAAGCAGCAAAGTGTAGCATCTCCAGGAAGCTGGCCCGGAGGGCATATTCACTTGGCCCTACCACAGCGCCAATTGCAATACCTCTTTCATAAACAGAACAGGTAACGAGGATTGGGGAAAGGGCATGGCTGGGGAGCCAGGCCAACCTGGAGACAAGGATGCCTCCCTGACAAGACAGTTGACAAGATCAGTGTAAGTGCCCCGCGTGGAGTAGGCACTCAGTAAATGTTTTCTGTGTTCTCATCCATATCTCACTCCCTTTGCTGCTTCTGATGCCTGTCTGCTTCTCTCCTTACCACTCCTCTAGAAGCATTATCAATGGTTCCCAAACTTTCTTCATGGGGTTGCTGCTCCTATAATTATTTGAGTTCATAACACTCCTTTCTTCAGAAGGCGCTGTGACACATTTGGGTTTATTTTAGAACCAAAATATAATTAAAAGTATTCTTGTTTCAAGGTTAGGTGACCTTTTCATTGCTCAGAATTCAGACCTTCTCTCCCCTCCCCTCCCCTCCCCCCATCCCCTTTTCTTTTTTTAGGCAGGATTTCTTGAACACCTGCAGTGTAGCACTGTATAAAACACTGGAAAACACACAAAAGATTAAGAAACAGCTTCTTCCCCCTGTGGGAGCACACCTAAAGGTATACGATGGTTAACTACCACAGCAGCATTGTTAGTTTGTCAGGGTGAGTTGAACTGGCCCTAAATGTCATAGTAGTACAGAGGAGGCCTTGTGGAGAAATAGGATGTTGAAATATGTGTAGGTGGAGGAAACCAGAAAGGGCATTGCAGGCAGAAGTAACAATGTGAGCAAGGACTTGGAATCTGGGATGAAGAGGAGCAAACTGATTAGAGCAGGAGATGGGGAAATATAACTGTATGTAGCTAATGTTTCCTGATCATTTATGACTTGCCAAGCCCTGTTCTGGCACTTTATATGCAGTCTTATGTAATCCTCACAATAATGCTATGAGAGTGTATTACAGATGAGGAAACCGGGGCAAAGAAAGGTGTAAGTCACTTGCTAAGTGACTGTGGGCAATAACTGGTGGAACTGGAATAATAAGAAATAAGACTGCCTTGATGGATGGGGCCACATCCTGTGGGTCTTAAATTGTTTTTGACTCTTCCTCATTTTCTTCTTGAGTCACTAATACGTCCTAGCTTTCTCACAGTTACTTCTCTCTCATTTTCATTGGCTCTTCTTCCTCCTGCCTGGATAGCTAGCTTCCCTAACTAAATCTACCCAGCTACCAGGTAAGGAAATATATGCATAGGGTACAGGTTTCTGGCAGGAATACATGCAGGCTGGTACACCAACACAGAAAACATAAGAAGACGCTCAGCTCTTTTTGGATTAAAAAAAGAGGGGACCTGAGCTTTGTCATGGACTTCACGTATGTGTCCTCCCCAAATTATGTTGAAACTCTAATATCTATGTGGCTGTTTGTCTATGTGGCTAATGTCTATTTGGTAATGGGGCCTCTAAGAAAGTAATTAAGGTCAAATGAGGTTATAACAGTGGGGTCCTGGTCTGACTGGATTAATGTCCTTAAAGGAAGAGCTTGCTTTCTCTTCACATGCACACAGGAAAGGCAATGCCAGGACAATAGTGAGAAGGCGGCTGTCTGCAGACCCGGAAGAGAGCTCTCACCAGAACCAAATTGGCTGGAACCTTGATCTTGGACTTTCCTAGCCTCCAAAACTGTGAGAAAATAAATGTTTGATGTCTAAGCCACCCAGTTTATGGTATTTTGTATGGCAGCCCTAGCAGACTAATAATACAAGCTTTCAGAAATGTTTGAAGTAAGGAGGGGCCAGTGCTAAGACAGGGTCTTTACTTAGTGAAAATAATCAACTCTACTGGAATAATGAGTGTTTGTGACCCAGACCCTCCTTGACATGTTTACTCCTGACTGTGCCTTTGTGGTCCCTGCTTTCTTCTCTGACTGGGAGACTGAGGAAGTTGTCTATGGGAAGAAAGCTATAGCTGGTCAGGGTATTTCCCTGTGGAGGATTTTGTGGCTAATTAGCACATTCAAACCCTCCTTTCCCTATTATTGTCTCTAAATATGACTTGGTATACATATATGTATACAAATGAACCTCTCCCATGAGAGGGGGGCTATCTTTAATAAGGTCTTACTGAGTTCCTCTAATATGCCAAACGCTGTGCTGTGCCATAGGGATAAGACAGTAAAGTCAAGCACAGCTCTTACAGTTCACCTGGTGCGACAGGCATAGGTGGTTAGGAGGTTGCTGAGTGTGAGGCTGCTGAGTGTGATGAAAGAGATGAGAAGTGACAGTTAAACTGAGACCTGAAATATGTGTAAGAGTTGTTCAAGCAGAAGGAACAGTGGGTGCAAAGGCCTGGAGTTGGGGAGCAAGGGTAAAATGAATCTGAGGAGCATTGTCAAGTTTAGTATAGCGAGAGGGATATGTGATGCACTTCAAGGATTTTCAATTTTGTCCTGAAGATGAAAAGCATTTGTAGGAT